AGATTGAAACAGCAACACCTTCATAACTGTCATGATCAAGGCAGACATGCCCATCTGGATGAGATTCTCCACTGTGTAATCTTGGTTACCTGATTCTAGAGTGGGGGGACAAAGAGATCACAGTCATCAGGGCAGACTGAAATCACCCCAGGATCCCTGCGTGTCCATCTTGGGCACCTTCCTTCTGTTGACAGGATTTGACCCTCTTTACCCAACTCCATACTTATTATTTCTCCTTACTCATCCTTCTGAGAGTCTGACTTGTTTGGTGATAGTCTGAGGGTATCAGCTGCCCCTGAGGGCCAAAAATAGAGTGTGGGTGAGGAGACTTAGGTAATCTCTTCTCTGCTCTCCAGTGAGTCTCTAAAACTAGATAATGCCAATCTCAATTCCTTGAGGTGAGCCTCTCTGGTGTCTCATCTTCTGACTAATTAGGATGCAGAGATGAACATTTGAGGGCATCATTTTTTTCTGAGAATCAGGAACATGAAGAAGTGAAAGACTGTTTAGCTTTCATTTCCTCCACCTCAGCATGCTCCTTTCTGTCTCTGGCTCAGGATTATATATTGCCATGTCACATTCCTTTCGCCTCTCTATCAGTTGATTATTTTTAAAAACACATGAAGGGATATTTACAACACACAAGAGAATCTTTCTAGGAGAAAGGAATACCACAATCAACATAACCTCCACTTACTCATTCACTTTGTGGTCTAGATAGGGTTATTGAAAGAAACAAGCAAAATGAGATATGCCATACACTCCTCAGGGAGGAGGGGGCTGTGTTAAAAGGGGACAGTCATCCCACATATGCCAGGTGTGGACTGTGAGGATTGAGATCCCCTGAGGCCACACTTTGCTCCCTTCTGCCTGTGAGGAGGAGCCCACATTGGGAGCCCGGCTCCTCCCCCTTACCTGTCACAACCAGGGGCAGGGGGTCACTGCGCTCTGGCCAGCCATTTCTGCTGGTATTGTATGCACACTGATACAGCCCTGCAGTGTGTGAGCTCATAGATTCGATGGAGAAACTGGTCTTCTTGCTGGAGTCCTGTGGGGCCTCTCTATTGAAGGGTTTAGAGACCCTCTCTCTACACAGATTGTAGACATCAGCCTGCAGAGATTCCTGACACCAGATTGTCACAAGACTCCAGTTGGTGACCACGGGGCCTGGGTCAGCCCAGAGGAGGGTTGAGGGGGACTCCTGGCAAGGAATAAGACCTGAAGTGGCAGGGAGTACTTCTCCCCTCAACTTCTCCAGCTGTCACTCAAGACCCCTCCCAGACTTGTCGCCATCAGCCCACATCCTCAGTGCTCCCCACAGCTGCCAAGAGGGATTCACTAAGCTGAAGCAGGAGTTCTGGGGGAGGATCCATCTGCCCATTCCTGGTCCCATGGGCTCCGACACCGCCTTGGAAGAGTATGTAGATATAATACGTATCACAACTGCAATGTAAAGGGGTGAGAATAAAGACACCTATATATTTGCAAGGTTTCTACATTTCTCGTGGAGTAAAATCCTAACTCTAACTTGACAGTAAAATTAGGTATGCATATGGTAATATCTAGCACAGCCACATAGACAGAATTCAAAGAGGTATAGTTAAAACACCAATAAAGAAATTAATATGTAATATTAAAGATATTTTTTATGCCAAATAATGGGATGAAAAGGAAAACAGAAGAACAAGAAAAAACAATAGAGGGGACAAACAGAAAAAAACAAAGTGAAATAGTAAACCTAAATAACAATCTATTATTAATTATATTACATATATATTACATATATATACATATAAATGGTGTATACATAGCAATTAAAAGACAGAGATTATAAGACTGGTTTAGGAAAAAACAACCACAAATAAGACCTTTCTATATGCGTCCAGAAAGCATTCACTTCCAATATAATGATGCAAATAAGTTTAAAGTAAAAGAGTAAGCTATGTGGGTGACCTATGGAAACACTATGCTCAGTGAAATAAGCCAGACGGGAAATGTCACATATTGTGTGATTCCACTTATACGAGCCTCCTTGAACAGCCAAATCTCTAGAAACAGTAAGTGGAGAGAGGTCACCAGGGGCTGGTGTTAAGGGGACATGGGGAGTTATTGTTTAATAGGTACAGAGCCTCTGTTTGGGATAATGGAAATGCTCTGAAAGTGGATAGTGGTGATGACTGCCCAACGTGATAAATATATTTAGTGCCACTGAACTGTACACTGTAATAATAGTTAAAATGTTAAATTTCCTACGTATTTTTTTTTACCATATTAACAAAGTGGAAAGATGTTAAATGTACTGTACAAACACTAAGCAAAAGAAAATTTAAGTGGCTATATTAGTTTCCAATAGCTGCTGTCACAAATGACCACAAATTTAGTGGCTTAAAACAACACAGATTTATTACCTTACAGTTCTGGAGGTCAGAAATATAAAATCTGGCTCACTGATAAGAAGGCAAGGAACAGGAAGACATGCAACTACGTCACCTCGATCCAGAACTGGAAGTCTGAAATGTGTTGATTTCTATATGTTGACCATGTATCCAGGACATTGGAAAATTCCTTTATAATTTGAGTAATACATCTTTACATTATTTTGGATTTTCTATGCACGCAACTGTGTAATCTCAGAGTAATATAATATTATTCTTACCCATTTCAGCGCCTATCATTTTGTTTTGTTTAATTGGCTGGTACCTCCAGTACCATGATGAATGGAAGTGGTTGTTACCGAACCTGAAGTGAGTTCGCTCACTCGTTGCACAGCAAGCCAATCTCTGACACCGGGTGTGTTGGAAGAAAGTAGGAATTTTGGTTTTGCACAGTGCTGAGCAAGGAGAGAGGGCAGCTAACGCTCAAATCCCAAACTCCCCAAAAAGCTAAAAGGAAGGGTTTTTATTTGGGGTTTCATGTAGGGGAGGGGGAGCATATGGCCTTGCTGATCGGAGCTTTCCCACCAGCCTGTCTTTGGCCTTGAGACACTTGCAGAGAGGAGGAAGCCTGTGACCTTGCTGGTCAGCAGCTTTCCCACCAGCTCGTATCTCTTTGTGGGGAGGAGATGGTCCAGGTGCTTGTCCTTGACAGTGTCTGTCTCCATGGAGGATAGTGGATTCTGGAGCCAGGAAGCCAGAGAGTAAGCAGGGAATGAGTGTTTTGGTTTTAACCCCATATATGCTGGGTTTAGTGTGGGGAAACTGATATCAGAGTCGATATCATGGTCACAGGGAACATTCCCAATGTTATGAGTAAATACTAGCAACAAGTGGTTTTTAATGTTCTCTTCCTATGTTTTTTTCCCCGCAATTTAAATGTCTCACCTTTGGGAATGATGTCTAGTGTTGATTTTTAAACCTGCCTTTATAACTCACAGGAAATTCCTTTTTATTTTATTTCTGATGTTTTATTTTGATTATGAATTGTTGGTGTATTTTATCAAAATCTTTGCCTGTATCTGTCAAATGATCATTTTTGTACTTATTCTGCTAATATGTTGGATTAAATTCATTGATTTCTTTACATTTTAAGCTACTCTTTCCTTCCAAACAAAAGCAACAACCTAACCTCAATGTGGTCTTTTGTAATGTAATGTAATGACTTTTTTATATATCACTGACGCTTCCTCGTGAATATTTTGTTTAGTGATTTACAAATAAGTTCATGAGAGAGATCTTCCCATTTTGTAATTTCCTTGTCAGAGTTTGGTGTCAATATTTTCCTAGCTTGATTTGGGCTCTATTTCTTCTTTCTCTAGTCTTAGAAAAATTTTGTGTCAGTTTGGTGTGTGTGTATATGTGTGTTTCCTAAGTTGGTGTGTGTGTATATGTGTGTTTCCTAAGTGTATAAGTTCTTTGAAGTTATCACCAATGAAACCTTCTGAACTGATAAACTTATTGCAAAATGATTACCACCCCAGCATTAGCTAACCTCTCTATCCCCTGACATGACTGCCATTTCCTTTTTCTAGTGAGAACATTTAAGATCGACTGTCCTAGCAACACTCAACAATATGATACAGTCTGGCTGGCTATGATCACCGTGCTGTACACTAGATCCCCAGGACTTATAACTGGAGGTTTCTGCCCTTTGATCAACATCTCCCCATTACCCCAACACCAACCCTTGATAACCACCATTCTACTCTCTATTTCTCTCTGATCTTTTTAGATTCCACATAATTCAGTTGTGGGGTAATTTTTAATTACAGTCAATGTATTTAATGTATACATAAGGTGATACATATTTTCCCTTTATTCTCATGTCCATTTAGTAAATGGTACATGTGAGGATGTCCATTTTATCTCCCTTTTCTAATGTACTGGCATCAAATTATTTTTAACATTGTTACTATATATATATTTATTAAAGATTTTATTTTTTTCCTTTGTCTTCCCAAAGCCCCCCGGTACATAGTTGTATATTCTTCATTGTGGGTCCTTCTAGTTGTGGCATGTAGGATGCTGCCTCAGCGTGGTTTGATGAGCACCCAGGATTCGAACCAACAAAACACTGGGCCGCCTGCAGCGGAGCGCGCGAACTTAACCACTCGGCCACGGGGCCAGCCCCTTCTGGTTACTCTATTTTTAAAGTCTATAGGATTTGTAGTGCTGTCTGCAGTTTCATTCCTTATATTGGAAATATGTGCCTTCTCTCTTTCTATATCGGTCATTGTGACTACATTTGGTAAGTTTGACTAACTTTGCCTAGGATGAAATTTTTTGGCTTTATTGATTTTTCTCTATTTTTTCTTTGTCCTCATTACGAGCTGGTCTTATTATTTCCTCCTTCTACCTTCATTTAGATTAATTTGCTCTTCTTTATCTTAATTCTTGGTGTAATATCTTAGGTCATTGATTTTTTTAAGGCTTTTCTTTTCCAAGATATTCATTCATGGTTCTTAATTTTCCCATTTCATAGGTTTGATTGTATAATATTTACATTATCATCCTATTTAAAACGTTCTCTCACTTCTGTTTTGGATTTCTCATTTCACTCATGCATTACTGAGAAGTCTGTTGCTTTATTTCCAAAATGTGGGGATATCAGTTATCTTTGATTGCAGAATCAGGTGACTCCCCAAAAGTCCCAGAAGCTCCTGGTGGTCCATGTTAGGAGTCCAGGCTGGCTGGGGGTCATTAGCTGAGTGTCCTCTGGAGGCAGCTCCTATGTCTTCTGGGGTCCCTGCAGTCTCCCTCCATGGAGGGTGGCATCCGGGTCCTTCCTGGGCTAGTGGATGGCCAGAGCAGCGTACACACTGGGCTCTGCTGGGGGCTCCTCTGACTGGGAGGAAGGGGATGTCATCTCCCGTCTGAGGGTCAAGTGGTTCAGCTGGGCGTAGGTCACGTCCTGGGGGGCTTCAGATATAGCAGCCTAGAGCAGGGGGAGAGTTGGGGGGATACGTACATGGTTGGGTTGGGGGCAGTCTTGAGGCCTGGAGAGGATGGGAGCCACCTGACTGTTCATCTCCCTACCCACTACTACTTGTCTGTCCTTAGTATCCAGCAATTCCTCTGACGGGGGGAAAGAGAGGTGGCCACTCTCTGCCTGAGTCTTGACCTTGAGCAGCTCACCTGGGCATACTTTACTCTCTTGTTGTCTTCATCATGAGTGCCCTGCTGGTGAGAGACAGAGGAACAGAAACAGTGTCTCTTTGATCCCACTGCTGACCTCCTCTAGTCAGTTGTACACACTGTTACCACCATGAGGCCACTTTCCTGAAGGAATCTTCAGGGACTTCCTAAGCCTTGGACATCTGGATGCTTTCTATGGTTCTGATTCTTATGGTAACATGCTATCTCTTACTCATTTGCCTCCAGCCACACGGCCTGTCTTCCTGAAAAAGCAAGCTGTGGCCTCAGGAAATTTGCATATGCTGTTTCTTCTGCCCCCTCCGTGCACTCTACCTCTGTCCTTTCTTTATTTTCCTTAACAGCACTTTCCACTCTAGGAAGCTATCCGAGTATTTACATGTTGTCTCTCTCACCCATAGCTGAGCTCAAGGAGTGTGGAGACAGCTTTGCTCACTGCTGTACCTGCAGCATCTGAGTGGAGCTGGGTAAACAGTGAGCTCCCTGTGCACATTGTTGGGTGAATGAATGAAGTGGAACCTAGGGACTTGCAGGTGATTCCCTTATTCATGCATCCTCTTGAGACCTGGGGGTGCCCTCCAACAACCAGAAGGTCAGACAGAGGACAAGGAACCAGGAAAGGGGACCACATAGGAGGGGCCATGAGGCCACAGAAACCAGGAGGAGTGAAGTCACAGCAGGACAACCCAGGGTGCCTCAGAAGGAGAGGTCAGTGTGGGACGCTGCTGAGAGCTGAGTGACATGAGGACAGCAAAGTGTCCATAGGTTTAAGTTTGGCAATAAGATGGTCCCTGGCAGCCTGGACAGGGCAGGGATCTCACCTGATGGTGCAGCTGCACCCCCTCCTCAGGCTGTGTGTCCTTCACGGCAGCATCTGCTGGGGCAGAACAGAGGGTGCATCTCTCATCAGGATTCCCTGAGGTCTCTCAGGGCTGCAGCCCCCTCTGCTCCCAGATGGACCACTGAGATCCAGGAGTGAGGAGATGAGCCCGAGGTCACTCAGGGGGATTTCAGTCCTTCTCACCCAAAATCCGCAGACCCCCCCATCCAGTCCCCCCATGGCCCACTGAAATCTGTGTGCCCCCTCAACCCCAAGGGCAGCCCCTCCCCTTCCTCTCACAGAGGGTCTCTTCCTGGGCGTCTACAGCTGGGCTGGAGCTGGAGGAGGAGGAGAAGACAGGAGTGTTAGGGACAGAGAGGGGGCCGAGGGCGGGGCGGGAGTCTGGGGTCTTTGGGGCAGAAATTACCTGATCTGCAGGCCTCCGTCCTTGGGCTGTGGGTCTGCAGCCCCTGCAGGAATTTGGAGATCAGCCCGTCTCTGGGCTGGGTCAAGACGGACAGAGTCTCAGCCCTGGGAGGTGACGACCACCCGCCCACCACATGCGATTCCAGAGGAAAGAAGGAAACCAGTACACATGCTTGTGTGTAGGTTTCAATATTTCGTGGGGCTGAAAAGCTGAAAGGACACCTTAACTGTACGCATTTGTGCTGTATTAAGCGTCCTCTTTTGCATATTCTGATTTGCGATTCTGGAAAAGTCTTTTTAGGCCAACCTTCCCATTTACCTGGGTTTCCTCCGGCTGGTGCCCTAAGCCCACCTCCTCCTGTGACCCAGGTCACCCTGTTCTCTACTCACCTGACATCTTTCCTTTGCCCTGATGCCGGTGTCGGATGGGGAGGAGGAGGAGGAGGAGGAGGGAGAGCAGCAGGACGAAGGCCACCAAGACGCCGATCAGAACCTTCAGGTACCAGGTGAGACCTTGGGCACGAGTGATGTCATGAATGAGCCAATGATGCCGTTTAATTGGGCACCTACTGTGTGCCACACACGTGCTGGGGTCTGTGCATTCACCTTCTCTAACTTCCAACAATCATGCAACAGGAGACGGCCATCCCCACCCACCCATTTCACAGATGAGGAAACTGAGGCACAGAGAGGAAGATCACACGCCCCAGGTCACCCAGCTTGAAGTGGCAGAGCTGGGACTGGAACCCAGGGCTGAGAGTTCCCTGTGCTCTCATCATCTGCCCCCAGGCAGACACCAGCTTCATGGCCCCTTCTGTGCAGGCGGGGCCTGTCCCAGTGTCTCATCTGGAGCTGAGGGTCCTTCCTCATTACCCTCCCCTCCCCACACAGCAGGGAGCTGGGGAAGGTAGGCTGCATGAAGTGAATTCTGCATCTCTCCCAGGATCCGTCAGCCTCTCTGAAAGGCCCTGATGCTCCCTGGAAAGCTCCAGTGGGATGGAGGCTCTGCTGTTCCTGACCTCTGGAAAGCCCAGGCCCCTTATTTCACCTAATGTCATAGCAGGCCTGTGAGTAGAACAGGACTAGGGAGCTTCATACAAAGAACTGAGACTCAAAGAAGAGAAATGAGCTGCCCGGGACCCCAGCTGAGAACTGAACCCGGGGGCTAACTGCCTTCTTGATCTTTCCACTAGAGCTGAGTGCCCTGAGCTGAATGGAGAGGGTATGAGCACCCTGACCCTTGTCCTTCCCCTGCCTCCCCCATACAATGTCACCATCACTGCTGCAGAGGGGACAGGACCCCATAAAATCACATCCTGGGGGCCTTCCTTGTGAGGCCTCCTCTCCCAGGAAGTCAGAGCCATAGTCAGAACCGACAGGAAATCTAATCTCTGGGCTACGATGCTCTCCTTTACACTTGGAGAAACTGAGGCCCAGACAGGGGAAGGCATGTCCAAGTCAGAGTCTCCTGATGTCTTAACTCAGCCCCCACCCTCCATGGGCCCACCCACCACTCCTCACAGAGACCCTCACTTACCACTCTGGGCGCCTGACTCTGTGTGGAGCAGTTGGTCCTCAGAGTCTCCTGGGGATCAGGATGGAGGTGAGGGGGCTGCTTCTCCCCACCTCAGCCCAGCTCACCCTCCCCCAGGCTGGGCCCCAACGCCTCCCTCTGCCATGAACACCTCACCCACTATCCACCAGCCTCACAGCCCTGGAGCCCTGTGGACCCCCCATCTCTGCCCGACTCCCAGCCCCCTGGAGACAAGCTGTGCTGAGAGAGGAACTAGGAGTCAGGTCAGCTGAGTCTCGAGAGACAGGCCTGGAGAAACTGTGAGCTCTCTGGACAGAGGCCCCTGTGACTCACCAGCCATTAAGTTGTGTTCTGTGGGTGGGGAGGTGGGGTCCCCAGAGGGTCCTGGGAGAAAGGAGTAGAGGAGATGAGGGGCTGGAGGTTCCCCCAGAGACCCCGCCTCTGCTCACACAATTATCCTTCATCTGCCCTGTGGTCCCCAAGGCTCTCCGTCCATCCACCTCGACAATCCTAGTGATGGGGACTTGGGAAAGGGCAGGCATGGGAGGGTCCTCTTATCCTCTTACACTCTGAAGGGCCAATCCCCTTCTTGGTGACCATCCCTAGGGGGGCCCTCACTCCCATCCCAGCCCGGAGCTCTCTGGGGACCTCAGCCCTGAGCAGGCTGACTCAGAAAGGACAGAGTCATGGACCCTCACCTGAGACCATAAGCTCCACGGGATCACTGGGTTTTGACCACACCTGGGGGTAGTTCCTGTTACAGCCATAGCATCTGAATATCCACCTGTGGTTGGGGGTCATGGGGCCCACAGTGAACAGGGCCTGGGATTGCCCATCAAGGTCTGGCTGTGAGTCCAGGATCCAGGAGGGCTGGTGTTCTCCTTCCTTAGTCAGAATGAATCTGTCAGATCCCCACCATGAGTCACACTGGAGGGTCACGTTCCCTCCTGAGGTCACCACAGGGCTTGGCAGGGCTGAGAGGGAGGGTTTGTTGTAGGCTCCTAGGAGAGGAGGAGGCAGCATGTTACATGGGATTCACACCTCCCTCATATCCCCCAGGGCTGGGCTGTGGGAGGGGACACACCCCTGAGAGCAGACCCCCTTCCTGAGGGCAGAACCTGAGACTCAGACCCCTGAGTGTCCTCTCACCTGTCATCACCAGCTCCAGGGGGTCACTGTGCTCTGACCAGCCAGTGCGGATGAGATAGTAACAGTGATATCGCCCTGCATATTGCTCTGTCATGTATGTGATGGAGAACTTGGCCTTGTCCCCGGGCTCCAGTGGGCTCTGTCTGTCCCAGGGTGATACACTTCCCTCTTTATCCAGACGGTACTCCTGGGCCTCCAGGGTCCCCTGACACCAGATGGTGACGGGCCTCCACCAGAGGATCACAGAGCCTGGCTCAGCCCAGATGGTGGGTTTGGGGAGGGTCCCTGGGAGGAAATTAGAGGCTGGATCACAAGATATTCCCCACCCCCAGTTTCCCAGCTCTCAGCCCTAGGACCCTCCCAGATGTCCCCCATCCCTCAGCCCAGAATTGCTGTTCTCCACTCCTGGCTGCTCAGGGGTGGCTCATTTTTCCCCAGTGTGGAGGTGGGACCTGGAACACCTGGGAACAGACTCACCTGCCTGCACTGGGGTCCTCGGGCCCACACTCAGCCCTGGAAGAGAGTTCCCTGTGAGAGATTTGTCCCTGAAGCCTGAGCAGAACCCTCCTCCCCATGAGCCTCCTGAGTCCTGGGGTCTCCTGACAGACCAGGGCCTGGCTGTGCGGTGGGTCCCTCCCACACTAGGGCTCCCACCACAGCTCCTCAAATCTCACCGAGGCAGAGCAGGGCCGTGAGGGTGAAGATCATGGCCTCTCCTTGTGGCCCCAGCTGTGCAGATGGAGGAAACCACAGTACCCAGCAGGACAGTCAGTGCACAGGATGTGGCCACTGGGAGACTGATCTTCCCTGTCATGGGGTCATCACGTCAGCAGCCCCACAGGAAGGGGAACTGCCCTCCCCAGGAGCCGGGCTCTCGTCTCTCCAGAGCTGGGGCTGGGGCAGGCAACAGGCTTCTGGAGACATTTCTGACCACATCTGAGGCCTCACTTGATCCATAAGCTGTTCTCTGCCTGTCCTGAACTCCTTTCTTGAGGCAAGCATAAACACGTATTTTGAGTATTTGCAAGATGTCTACCTGGAAATACACCACTGAATTAGACAGATTCAAACTCTGGGCTTGCAGAGCTCAGATTAGGAAAACAACAAAACAAGTCAAGAGACCAACATCAACAAAATAACAGATATCCAGTGTACCAGTTTCCTGTTGCTGCCATAACAAGTCGCTCCAAGCTAATGGATTAAAGCCACACAGATTTATTATCTTACAGTTCTGGATATCAGAAGTCCAAAATGGACACCCCTGAGTTAAAATCGAGTTGTAATCAGTCTGTGCTCCTTCTGGAGGCTCTGGGGGTGAATCTATTGCCTTTGCTTTTCAAGCTTCTACAAACTCCCGTACCCCTTGCCTCGTCATCCCTTCCATCTTCAAAGCCAGCAATCGCATCGCTCCATCTGCTGCTCTGGAGCCACATCTCCTTCTTTGGCTCTGGCTCCTCTGCCTCCCTCTGTCACTCAGAAGGACTTTGTGATGACATTGGGCCCATCTGGATAATCCAATTCCATCTCCCCATCTCAGTGTCCTTAACTTTATCACACCTGCCAAGTCCCTTTTGTCGTGTGAGGAGACATTCTCTGGTTCTGAGGATTAGGACGTGGACATCTTTAGAATAATGGGCATCATTATTCTGCCTTCAGGAAGTTCTTTACCCACATCTCATATGAACCACTTCTGTTTGATGATGGAGTGCTGCTGGACATCCCCGTTTAAAACTTGGTGGATAATCAGCTCCCAGTCCCTGATGGGAAGCTCATGTCACATAGTAACATGCCTACTCATGGCCAAGCATTGCATCTCAACTAGAGCCCAGTAACAAACTGGAAACTGTTTATCAAAAGAGAATAGTTCTCTGCAAAAATGGCATAGTGTGGCTCCAAAATATTAAATGCCTGTGTCGCAATTCACCTAGAGTTTCCTGCCAAAGGCTCTGTATAATGACCTCATCTGCCACAGAAGCTTCAAACACCATTGGATTTTTAGAGTCACGCAGCGCAGGCTTTCTGCAGCCAGGACCCATTGGAAAGATTTCTCTTTTTCTGTGCCTCACTCAAAACCAGCAACCTCACCAGGCACTCATAGTGGGTGGAGGGAGCATGCCCAAGGAGGTGTATGTTGTCTCCAAATTCCTAAGAAGGCCCACTAGAGATCGGACTTTTTTCTCAGTAGTAGGAGGGTCAGATGGAGCAATGAGTCTTCGCCTTGGATGGGATATTGCAACATGCCTCAGGCAACTGGACTCAGAATTTTCACCAAGGCAATTTGGGAAAATTTATTTCTCACACTCTGGAACACATCGGTCTTACGAAGCACCTAGAATAGTGGCTACTTCCTGTTTCACAGATCCAGTCAGCACGGTATGTAACGGACCTGTGTGAAGTCCTGTGCAACAGAGGGGTGAATGTGGCCCCTGCAGCCTAGATCACAGAGGACTGGAGAGTTAACTCAGAACTGAAGGAGGGCAGTGGAGATGTGTTGCTGGCCCTGACAGCCCAAAGCAGACAGACCTTACAGCCTTTAGAGATAGACCCAGAGAAAACAAACTTTAACCAGATCAACAGCTGCACATCAGGTGCCAGGCCATGTGTGGGTTTTCTCGATGGGTCTTCAACTGGAGCAGAAGCTGATATGCAAGTATCCGCTACCATACTCCAAGTTCCATCTGTCTTCTGCACAAGCCAACTAGGTGAGTCACGTGCAGATGTGGAAGGAATCATTGCCTCTGTATTGTTCAAGCTCTTGATGGTGGTAGAAATCTTTGCAATCCCCCTGAGCATGCAGGATTACTTTGGTTTCAATATTTTGGTTGGAAGAGGTGTTTCCTGTGCTTCCACCTGGCCTTTCCTTCCATCGTACCTCTTACTCCACAAATCAGAGAACTAGTGCCAGTTGTGGAGGCTGTCTGTACCATTTGAGAATTCCAGAACTAGGGAAATAACTACAGGGTGGTTTCAGGAACCCAAAGCAGATCTCCATCAATCACACCACCTCTGTTAGCCTTCACTCTGACTGGCAGACGTCAGTGGTTTGGGGGTCTCTGGAAGTAAACGAATATTTAACAAAATGGTAAGGTGAACAATGAATGTTTTAGTAGAAGAAATCTGCAGGAGACAACAGGCTGCTATTTTACCAATAAAGAAGGTGATGGCATAATTTTTAACTGATGAGAGACAAAATGATCAGAAACTTGAAAGCTTACACACAGGGAATGGTTACTCCCTCCACCCTCAACTTACAACTACTTTCCAAAATGTGAATGTGCACACCTCATACATTTTTTTCTTCCATCTGGAGAAACAGGCTGTGTTGGAGAGAACATCTCACCCCCAATTCTCTTAGGAAGAAGTTCTTACTCTGTGACGCCCCATTTCAGAGCAGATAGCAGATTTGCATCTGCCTCTCTGGGTGAATGTCCACTCCCATCCCAGCCTTTACCCTCTCCTGGATTCCCACCCCCCACTCATCCCTCCATCCACAGACCCCAGCATAACCTTCCCTCCTGGGATCCAGGACCTTCAAGGAAGTGACTAATTTTGCATTTTGAACCAATTTTATGCAAACTACACATTCAGTGTCTTTCCCCACCTACATAAAAATTTGTCCTTGATAGGGTAGGGAGTGTAATTCAGAATTTGTTATAATGATTTTGTAGACAGACGCAAGAAGTTAAGCAAATAAGACTCCCCATGGAATTACAAGCCACATTTTACCATTGCTGAGTCATCAACACTTCTCACACTGTGCTCCAGCTCATAAAAGACAATAAATGAACACTGAGTTACAAATAAATGCATTATTAATGTAAGTGATTAATAATTGGTTGACCAATCAATGCTTAATTTAAGAATATTGATTAATAAATAATTAATTGATAGCACACTAATGAGAAGACTAATTAGAATATTAGTAGCAAATAATTTTTAATTAATTTGTCATCAATGCTCAAATTAAAGTATTTATTAATAAATCATAAATTAATAACACAACACTGAGGAGACAAATTCTAGAGAATTTTACAGTGAAATTCCAGACTCATTCTAAAAGCACAAAATGATAATCATAAAACCTTGACTCACTCTCCTTCCCCGCAGAGTCAGGCAGAGCAGGGTGGTGAGTTTTGCAATCATGGTGATTTTCCTTGTTGCCCTGTCAGTGGAGAGAGGCAAGAGGATAGAGTCTTGAAGGCCATGCTAATGAAGAGGATGCTGTGGGCATCCATCACTCCGAGTCTGTGTTTCAACACTGGTGTTTTCGCAAGAAGTAGAACAGCTATTCCCCCATGTGTCAGTCTCTGTTGTGGTCCCAAACAAGACGTATGACTTCTCCTTTCATAGAAAACAATTTCTGCCCATCATAAATTCCCAGTTCTGCATTTCAGACATTGTCCAAAGATGCCATCAAGTGAGCACTGGATTTAGAGCTGGACGATCAGAAGATTAATGGTTTCTTTCCAGGTTACTACCCTTCTCCACACCGGAGTGGTTTGTCTTCATCTCCAAATCTTAGAGAATGGAATCCTGTTTGGATTAATGAAGTTTAAAACCAGTGCCTGAATGAGGACCTTGAGTGCCTTTTCTTCCAGCCATTGTTCACAGTTAGGGTTCATGAGCATCTGTTGGAGAAAGGGGAGACTCGGGAGAGAAAGAAGCCAAGATATATACAAAGTATATATATTGATTTGCCCAATGGCACCTCATGCTTAGATTCAGGTTCCACATTTTGAGGTGGAACACCACTGATGCGATAATGTCCTTTGTTTTCCACATTGGTGATTTTGCTTTCATAACTTGGTCATTTTGGCACCCCCTAGGTTTCTACATTGTAAAGTTATTCGCCCTTTGATTTGTGGGGAGATACTCTGTGAGTCAGTACATAGCACCTTCCTCATGAAACTTCCACTTAGTAATTTTTGCAGCCACTGACCGTTATGCTGAAGCAAACTCCTTCTCTTCTCCCAAATGTATTCATTTATATATAAATAACATTATTTCTAATATCCCAAGGCTTTTAAGTGCCTGTGGAATCTGGCCAATCCTTTTCGTGTTTGTTTCTGCCATAATTAGCAGACACATCTCGACTTTCTCCTGTCCCCGCGATTTCGCGTTGATACCCAACGTTCTTCCAGCACTATTTTTTCTGCTCTTTACTAGTTTGTTCTTTTCACTTGATATTACATCCTGAAACTCACTCCCTATAAAGATAATCTCCTATTTTCTTTTACAGTGGGAACTTACTCCATTTTGACTGTGAACCTGAGTCCATTTAGCCCAGTGGCTTGGGCATTTAGGGTTTCTTTCTCAATATTTCTCAAGTACAAATCACGCTTCAATTATTAAACCTAGGATATATCTTTTCATATATTTGGAGGTGTTCCTTCATGGAAAACTCCTTGAAGGCATTTCCTGGGGCAAAAGCATGATTTTCATATGGTGTTTTGGTAGATAATAACAATTTCCCCTAAGTATGGATTGTCCAGTTTCGCATTCCCACCAACAACATAAGAGCTTTTCAGTTTGCTCACAGGTTTGTAAAAGGACATCTGATTTGTGCCTAATAGATAACATTCCATTGCAATTTAGTTTAAATTTGCATTTCTTTATGTAGCTAAATCTGAACAGCTTTTCATATGTTAAAGTGCCGTTTTTCTCTTTGTTAGTAATTTCTTGTTCACATTGTTTGCCATTTGTCTATCTTACTTTTTCTTCAATAATTGACATCCATCTCTACATAACATCCACATATACGACGTGCATGCATAGACAGATCTTTGACATATTTTCTCCTGGT